GGGCGGGGTGCGACCTCTATTGTCTGCCACATACAATGCTGTTTTAAGACTTCTCTCTCTGCAGGTTAATAACACCTCCTAGCTCCAATTATACAAATGCAATCAACACCTGGTTGCGACTAACAGATTATGTGGATTGGAGCAACATTCACCATATTTATTCCCAGATTTTTTTGTACAAGTTATTCTGAAATGAGAAAGCTGATGACCAGTGAAACGTCTTCAAGAAAAATACAGCAAGTCCAGTTGCCTTGACTTATTTTTTCCACAGATATGTACTCTTGTAGTTGTGCTCTTTGACCACTAGAGGACCTCAGAGTAGCACATTTCCTATTACTTATACTGTATTCTTGTAGTTGAGCTCTTTGACCACTAGTGGGCCCCAGTCTGCGTAATCACATCACACCACTGAGCCCCTGTATGAATTTGTAGCACTTTGAGCTCGTTCACATTGCACTGGACGGGCCGTTTCCTTAGATATTAAGATACATAAACCTGCGGATACAATCCTGAGAATTGTGGTGTTATTTGTATGGACGGCGGCAGAGTTCCAGTCTCTTGTCAGTGTTGGATTATGTCCCGGAGTCTATCCGCAGAGATATGATCTGTGGCTCCGGGTTCCAGATAAATGTTTCTTATCAGTTTTCATTGACACTGAACTTTGGAAAATATAATTTGGTGATAAAACATTTCTTCTTATTATTCTGATTGGATAAGTGACAATACAAAGCACAATAACACACTGGCTCTCTTAAAGCTGGACTCCCGGTAGATTAATAAAACACACATCACTCACACTCCCTAGTCATTAATACATCAGTGAGTGTTTCCTTTTCCAAGCAGCACTCTGATCTGACCTAGTATAAGTCTCCTGCAGTCCCTGTACAGCAGAGCTCGGACTGGTAAAGGGAGGAGCAGCCAATCGGTTGTGCTGCAGTGCTCCTGTCATAACAAGGGACATGGTGATAGAAGGAGAGAGCAGAGTGACACAGAACTGAGCCCATCGGTCTGCTACGTCCTCTTCTTCTACTTCTGCTGCTTCTTTTACTGTCACAGGCTGGGGGGAGGGACAGGACCTGCAAATGCTATGGAACTGCGGCAGGAAAAAATAAATCCTCCTTTCTGGCAGAGCGGCAGAGGTGAAGGTGTGTTCTCTTTGCAATGTGAATGTCAGTGAATAAGGTGAATGCCATGTGCATTGTCAGTGAATAAGGTGAGGGTGTGTTCACTTTGCAATGTGCATGTCAGTGAATAAGGTGAAGGTCACTTTAATGAATGTCTTCTGGATTCCAGTAGGGGTGGGACGGTGACTCCGGCACCATGGGGACCGGGGTCTGTGAAGTGGGACTGTTGGCAGCCATTCGGTGATGACATTGTTGCATCACTCGTTGTAAAGTCGCCATGCCGCACTTTGGATCCGCAATGTAGATAAGAGATGAACCGATTATGAATTAATGACTCTCACCGAACATTGATCACGTCTGCCTTTGCGAGCAGTGTGTCATGTAATTTTCTGCTCGGCACCTCAGCTTGCGAGAGCTCGCGGAGCTGAGCGTGCCGAGATGAACAATTTCAACTTCAGCCAATCGGCTCGCGCCTATAAACCAGCGCGTCGCGACGCGCCAGCTGGCAGGTTGTTACGGACGAGCCGATTGGCTGAAGGTGCTGTCAATCATCTGACTGCACTCACCTCACACACTGCACGCAAAGCTCCGTGTCGGATAGCTTTGCTTCGCTCTGCACGGCTTCGCATGCAGTGTGTCACGGTCTTTACCTCGCCGAGCGTCGCGTCAATTAGGACCCGGAGACTGCCAGATGACCCCGCTCGGAGCGCCGCCCACCGGAGCAGCAGTGACGCGAGGCTCGGCGAGGTAAGTAAGAAGAAAAAAAAAAAAACATAGCCCAAGCTTCGGCGCTAGGCTTCGGGGCATTTTGACAAGTACAAGAACTTGTCAAAATCCCCTGTATCGGGCCCGATGCATCGGTATTGGGACATCCCTAATTCTCACCCTAGGATATGTGTCTGAAATCGATGTTGGTTGGCGTGATCGTGACTAAGGTCGCCCAGATAGCCCGAGTTGATTTATAACACATAGGAAGTGATGGAGCATGTAGGAGGAGCAATCATTCAAAATCACACAATGCTCCATATTTGTGTGATCGTTCGATAGATGTCTGTCCTTTTCTATACAGTGCAGGCAGATCATGGCTGGTGGGAGGAGCCGGCAGGGGGCTGTACATAGCTCATGCCTCAGTACTCCTCTCAAGAGCCCTTAGCCCTGATACAAACAGTGGGCTGGCCTTTGGGAGGAGTTATGCAAATATCAAAATGTCTTGAAAGGTTGGTGTCAGTCTGGACGAGAGGGGGCGTTTCTAAGCAGGCTGCATTTGCATGCAGACCGCCCCTAGGTAACGCCCACATGCAATGCTCAGACTCCATGATGGAAAGAACTGAAATCCAATGAATGAAGGAGGCGGTCCAAGGACAGTCAGGCTATGATGGAAAAAGCTAGATGATGCTGGATGTCCGGCTCTATCTGACTTGCTGCAGCTTCTAATGCACATGGTGAGAAGCTCCCATTGTGCAGTGACATCAGAGGAAGCCATTTCAGTCCAGGAGAGGAGACGGTACAACTGTGCAAGACTTAAGGGAAGGCCAAAGGTCATGTATAAGACTGAAGGGAAGGCCAAAGGTCAGATATAAGACTGAAGGGGAGGACGGAGGTCAGATAGAAGACTGAAGGGAAGGACGGAGGTCAGATAGAAGACTGAAGGGAAGGCCAAAGATCAGATATAAGACTGAACGGAAGGACGGAGGTCAGATATAAGACTGAAGGGAAGGCCAAAGGTCAGATATAAGACTGAAGGGGAGGACGGAGGTCAGATATAAGACTGAAGGGAAGGACAAGGTCAGATAGAAGACTGAAGGGAAGGCCGGAGGTCAGAAAGAAGACTGAAGGGAAGGCCGGAGGTCAGATAGAAGACTGAAGGGAAAGCCGGAGGTCTAGGGCTATAAGGATGAAGAGAAGCTAACTCCAAGACCTCATAAACTCTTCTATCTGCCACTTAATACATTGGACACATGTTTTATGTAATGAGTCAATTACTGGCCCATGGAGGTAGACTACAAGATGGAGGAGTCTTGACTGCCCCCATATGCTTTTATAAATAGTTTTTATCATGAAGATGTTTAAGAAATGGTGTTTTATCGAAAGAAATATAATGTCCTAATCCGCACCTAAAAACCTCCATTAGTTTTGTATTCGTCTAACAAAATGTCCGCCTCCAGACATGCAGTTGATGTGCATTACCGTCTTCACAGCGCCTGGCTCCTGCCCATCTTCCACAACAATTACTTTGGCTCTGCCTTTCCTTTCATTGTCACGAATGCTGTTGGCAACCTGCGCGGCTTTGATGCGCTCGTACTTATTGCATTTTTCACCGCACCACTGGTAAATGTCCTGCAAAAAGAGAAACAAGAGGCCGTCAGGGCTACGAGCCTCTCTATGTAAAGGATGACCAAACTTTGGAAACACATTGACCCAGATTTACTAAAGCATAGATATCAACTATCCAGGACAGTTCTGCATCGTGGACCTGAATCCCCATGGTGCTCTGTCCTGGGCCATGTCTGGGATCACAGCGTTGCCTTTATTTGAGTTATTACCCATGAGGATTAACTCAGTGAGACATTTATTGAGGTGATTGGAGGCTGGAAGGGGCAAGCTCTGCATAATTAAAGGCGGGGTTTGGGTAGGCCTCATAAGAAGGGGTCTAAGCGGGACCACTTGCTCATTGAGCGAGCCTGAGGCTGACCATGGGAGGGGTTAATGAGCTAAAAATGTGCTGACCTCCATCATCCAATCATGTGCAAGCAAAAATTCTGTCTTTTCAATTTCCCTTGCGCATGATTGGATGTACTTTACAGTGAATGTCAAATAAATTTTGACTTTGTTTCCCCTAATTCACTAAAATAAGTGAAAGTTCCCTTTGAAAGTAAACGCTCCACTCCTTCAGCGAATCAACCCAAGCAGTGGCGTCACGCATCCAGGTGACACCATTGGACAGGTGACACCAAAATGACTGACAATCATTTTGTTGTCACCCCCTCCAAAAAGTCAGGCACTCGGTCATGGACCGAGAGTCTGACAGTGTCAGGAGAGAGGAGGGAACACGGCGGCATACCCCATCCTGATGGGTGAATGTCCCCTCCTTTCTCTGCCGATGTCCATCACCAAGATGGCCGCTGGCAGGAGTCTATTAGATGTCCGCGCATGCACGATGACGTCCCGGCGGGGTGTCATCTGGTCTCTGCTCCGGGTCACGCCAGTCCTCGGGATGCCCCTGAACCCAAGAATCTTTTAATTGATCCAACAACACCGGACATATTTATAAAGCAGTTGATACGACATTCACAAAACATTCTTTGCAGGTGAATCTTTCAGGCGCCTGTTTTTAAGTTACAGTGAACGATTCACCAGCTGTGCATGTTTGGTGAAAGCCACATTCACTGCTTTATAAACATAACCCAAAGCATGTTTCAAATATAGTTTAATACCTTTGCCTTTTCTATCCCCGTGCTTTCACAGCTGCCATTGTGTACCTATTGCTTTGCTGACATTACATTGTCTGCAGTATGCACTGTACACTGTCGAGAGCAATATGGATGCAGACCTGGACTGAGAACAAGGAAGGAATTTGCTTCCCATACTTGTTTATTGCTAAATTAAAGCTTTGCAAATGTCCATGGCATACAGACAAGTGAATATTTGTGGGTACAGCAATCAGATTGAACTCTTTTATGGCTTTCACATTAAGATATGCCATCGGGGGGGGTATAAGGAAATTGTGAAAGCCGCTTAGGTGAAGGTCCTGCTGGTATGCAAATCAATTGTTTAATCAGAAAGTCTGAATGACTAACGACGATCGTATCTCTTGTGTCCAATGCAAGAATCCAGAGTGAGCCCATTCAAATCACTTTTTCCTCAGTAAGGGGAAGTCAAGGATGTAAAATTGTCACCATGTGCAGAGTTATGATAAATGTCTGTTTGTGAAATGATATATAAGTGACAGGACGGAATAGCGGAAATACAATGTATCAGCTGAGTCATTTCTATTCCTGGTCACTGAGCCATGAATAGTTGAAATGTTACATTGTATCGCTGGGTTCTATATGGGGGGTTATACTGGGTTTGTCTTAAAGCTGAACTCCAGGATCCAGCTAGGGTTGCCCCTGTCCAGGATTCATGCGGACAGTCTGGGATTTGACTGCCGTGTCCGGGTTTCATGGCAGCAGAAAACGGACACAAAATGTCAGGCAGACAGGGGCAACCAAAATTAAAGTAGGGGCTACCGGCCCCCTACTGAAAATAGTCTCCACTGTGATATTTACATATTAATGGCTGGCGCTATTTAGATATGAATAAGCAGCGACTCATTCTCCCAAAAGAATGTCCACACGTTGATAGAGTGTTCGGGTTTCGCTTGAGAAAAAAAGGTGGCAACCCTAGATCCAGCCCACTTTTCACTTAGAGCTCCTTGTCCCCATGCACATAAAACATGCAATACATTTATATATTTCATAAAATTGTCTCTTAATTTATAATCAATCTCACTTTTTATTTTGTGGAACGTCATCAATTTCAGCCCATAGTTGTAGTCTGGCCGGGCGACTGGTGGAGGATCCATAGAGGCGCCACATGTCCAACATGAACCACAAGTCCACCACGTTTCCCATGATTTATTGGGAATGTATTGAAGTTGGTGGGTGGACCTGTGGTCGGTGAGGGACAGTGCTGCCTGACCTAGAGTCACCATTTTGCATAGCGGCCAATCAATGCCTGTGGGGGAGTCATGACTGGATCCTGTGCAGATCGTACAACATGTCAGTGCTCCATGTTGAGAACTACAAAGAGGAGGAAACACGACCAGGAGCTGTTCCGTTCTCCATAAGGAGATATGAGTGGTGGCCAGTCACACTAGACGAAAGTGGTACTCTACAGTCAGGAGCAGGGACATGTTCATATGCAAAAATGCACTTTAAACAAAAGGAGAGAAATTTTAGGAAAAGATAAGGCTGTCCCTTTTATATAATAGTGTTTTGCTTCTTGGCTGGAGTTCAGTGTTAATACATGGAAGATCCTATGTTCAAATATCATTCATAAGACATGCCGGGTCTTCTTACCACCAAACCAGAAGAGGAGAGATGCTTTTATGTTCCTTGAACTATACAGAACCTTCTGACTCTTCTCACTATATCCTTCACCCCTTTCCCCTTTATACTTCTCTAGGTGAATTTAGCCGGGAAAGTCCATAGTTGGCAAGAAGGAGGAACCACAACAAAGAAAATTTTATTGAAGGAAGTGTGTGAAGGTTCATATTTATCCGGGTCACGCTACAGCTCAGAGTGGTCACATTCAACTAGAATTTTTGGTAATGTTGAAGAAGATGTTTTGTGGCTTATCCAAGCAGCTTCTTTGATTCTAATGAATGCCAGGGAACATACCCAGCATTTACAGCCAAGGGGACGACCCAGTCACCTTAATCTAGTTACCATGGAAGGTAGATGTTGATTGGCCAAGAACAGGATAGGAGGTGTGGGACTTGTTCTACATAATCCCATCCTTGGTGTCAAGAAGTCTGGGACTTCATTCCAAATCAGTTCATTGATATCTGTCCCTTCTTCATGGCACAATGGTGGCTTCACAAGCATTCACATCTCCCATCTTAGACAATTACTATCTGCCTTTACCAGGGCTGTCTTTAATATTGATTGGACCCTGGGCAAACATTTTCTTGGGCCTCCCGTTCCATACCTGCCAAGCCCCTGCCCCCTACTTGCCCTGCAGAGCAGATATGAGGAGAGAACATAGTGACTCCGCGTGAGACGTCACACTTTGTGTTATATGGCAGGGACGGAGCAACACTATGCAATGCCTATTGTACGGTAAACAGAACAATGCCGTGTGTGTATCTTCTGCGGGCTTAAGTAGCAGCTGCTTTGGGCCCCACAACAATGACTGGGCCCTAGGGCAACTGCCCTTTTGCCCCACGTTAAAGATGGCCCTGGCCTTGACACATTCCATGGTGATTAGATTAGGGGTTACCTGTGTGGCTACTAGATCTGAGGAAGCAAACCGTGTAAGTGGTAAAACAACTTTAACATTACAGAACACGTCTGGTTGAATGTGACTACTAATTTGTTGGAAGGAGGATGTCACGCAGAAAGTATGGAATGATATCCTAATTTTTCACCTATATGGTTTAATTTCTTCATATGTCTGTCTACTCACAGCTCCAACATCGATGATAAAGCAGTCTCCGGTATTAAAGCTGGACCAGCTGAATGGCACCTCTGTAGCTCGCACCACCCTTCGTCCTTTAATATGTAGAAGTCTCTTGGCAGAAAGATCATTGGTAATCACATGGGTGAAGCCAGAGGCCACCCCACCGGCCTGGGGGAAAAAAATAATATTACGACATTTTTCCCCAAATTTTTCCCCACAGAAATTAAGAACGTTACTGTCCAGCAGCATAAGTAATCTGTAAAGGTGACAATAAGTGGGCAAGGGTGGGCTTTAACAAGACCCTCTTACCCCTTGGAAAAGGAAAATGGGTCTCTTTAAGGAAATCCCGGAAAATATGTGAAAAGAAGCCTAAAGCTCCAATCCCCTCACCCAATCACAGGACCAGTTATACTATAAATTAAAGCACGCCTCCCAAAGCCACCATTCTTTTTTCTGTCCTCAATCCTTGAAGTTGATTCTGAATGTGTTTAATTCAATTGTGTAAATTAGATACATTTCTCAACTTTTGCCCTCCCTTGTTTTTGCTTGCTATGGCCCATTCATATGCTGCCATGTTGGTGTCAGGAAAACGGAAAATTGTATAGTTACCTTTCGGTAATTTTCCTTTCCTGACACTAACACATGGCAACATACCGGACCCTCCCATGGCTTTCGCATTGAGTGCTTGTTAAGAGAATGGTGGCCTTGGGAGGCGGGCTTTAATTTATAGTATAACTGGTCCTGTGATTGGGTGAGGGGCAGAGCTAAACCCATCTGTATGCTGCCATGTATTGCCGTCAGGAAAGGAAAATTACCGAAAGGTAAGTATGCAATATTCCGTTATATATATATATATATAGCTTCATCTTACTTTAAACTAAATTCTGAAAAACCTTTCCTCCCCATGACTGGATATTAGAAGCATTTATGTCATACCTGATATTTTATTCCACTTTTAAAGTAGCCAAGAAAAGTGCTGCTTTCGTAGCCTTGAAGTTCCCGATATTGGACCGCGAATCCACCGAGATGTTCGTCCATCTGTACAGTAAATATGGCCGCCGCTGTGCTCTCATCTTGGGTGCATTCACTCCCTGAAGGAATTACATTTTCAATATAAAAAATATCTATATCTGGGTCATTTATTGATCATCCAACTGGTTAAAAGACATAGCAAAAAAAAATGCCAATGACAGTTGCTGGTTGTTCTGGACAAAAGTAAATTTTACCTGATCTTACTCTTTATATACATCTGTCCTATATGCACAGTAATTGGCTGGGAAGCCACCAACATTTAAAAGCTCAGCTGCGGCCAGACTATGGACAATTCAAGATCTGACTTATTTTTCCAGCACATCCAACAGATACTCTTGGATTGAGATCTGGAGAATTTGGTGGCCAAGTCAACACCTCAAACTCCTAAAACCATTCTTCAACCATTTTTGCAGTGTGGCGGGGAGCATGATCCTGGTGAAAGAGGCCACTGCCATCAGGGAATATCTTTTCCTTGAAGGGGTGTGCTTGGCCAGCAACAATGTTTAGGTTGGTGCTACGTGTCAAAGTCACATCCACATGAATGGCAGGACCCGAGGTTTCCCAGCAGAACATTGCCCAAAGCATCACACTGCCTCCACTGGCTTGTCTTCCTCCCATAGAGAATCCTGGTGCCATTTCTTCCCCAGCCATCACACACACACCCACCCGGCCATCCACATGATATAAAAACATTTTTGATTCATCAGTTCAGTCCACCTTCTTCCACTGCTCTGTGGTCCAGTTCAGATGCTAACATGCCTTTTGTAGGCACTTCTGGTGGTGGATACTGGTCAGCATGGGACCCTGACCAGTCTGCTACTATGCAGCCGTATACTTAACAAGCTGCTATACACTGTGTGTTCAGGAAATTATGGACACCGGCACTCCAAGGTAGAGTAACGTCTTTTTTATTGACGTTTCATGCAACAATACACTTATTGCAACGTTTCGGGGCCACACAGGATCCCCTTCATCAGGCAGAACAAGTGGCCTGCATTTGGGGTGCCGCAATCGCACTGCGGCCGGGGTGTGTGGCTGCGGTGCCATTGACTTAAATGCCCCCTCCCACCCTAGAACGCAGGGGGTAAGTTTTGTGCGTGATTGCTGTGCGTTCCAGCAGCTACCACTCTGGAACGCACTGTAATTGGTGTGAACAAGCCCTAAGGGCCCAGTCCCACCCTAAGGAGTGCGTTCCAATGCGTTCGGCCTCTGGAATGCACTGGAACGCAACCCGGCCGGCTCACTTTGTTTTGGGGCGTGGTGGTGCATTGAACTCAATGGC